GGTTGAAAATAAAGGAATCCGAAATTGAAGATTTTTGTAAATGAACTGTGAGACTGTACCCTGACTCTCTACCTGTCTCAGCTTATGCACACCTCACTCTGTTCCTTTTTGTGTGGGCCTTTGCTCCGGCCTCCACTTCTGCGTCTTCCTATAGATCTTCTAACCACGCTCTCTTAAATGTTATACCACTCAGTGCATAAGAAGTTTCTAGGAGTGCCCTGGCTGGTGTGACTCAGTGGATTGAATGCTGGTGAGCAATCCAAAGGGTCACCTGTTCTACTCCCAGTCAGGGCACATGCTTGGGTTGTGGGCCAGGTCCCCAGTAGGGGGCGTGTGAGAGGCAACCACACATTGATGTTTCCCTCTCTTCCCTTCTCTAAAAATAAATGAAATCTTTAAAAAAAGAAAAGAGTTCAAGGGGCCCTAAGAACCAAGCTTTCCCACCTCCAGTCACCACCTGGGACCCAGCTCTGCTGTGATTGACACCTGGGTGAGCACTAAGCCTTTTTTATTTACTGCCAGGCTGGGCCTTGTAGCTGGAAGGTTCCCATTTACGGAGTACTCCCGGAGTACAGATCACAGGAACAGACTGTCCCTGGTGGATCATGGGAGCTGTGACTCCTGCCCTCTGCCCTCTACCCTCTACCCCCACCAGACCCAGTGTCCTAGGGAAGACAGGTGAACTTTTAGTAGCTAGGCTCCCTCAAAACAGACAAAAGTAAATTGAGAGAAAAATCAAACATTTGTGAAGATGCTGGCATCAATTTGGCCAAATCTGAGAGTTTTTCCTGGAAGAGGGCCCAAACTAGATTCTAAAGAATGCTGTCAGTAGTTGGAATAGAGTTGAGTTCTAGACAGGGTGAGTGTCCATAAGATAAGCAAACTAAGCAGACTTGAGGTTGAGGGCTGTAGGCTAGACCCTGAACCTCTTCAGAAAAGGGGCAGGAGCACAAGCAGTGGCCAGAGCCAAAGACTGAGTGGGTGATCGAGGAGGAAATAATCCATGAAAAATGTTGGAACCCAGCCTCTGATAAGAAAGGTGATAGAGCTGTCCCAGAGTTTGACATTAAAATACAGATAAAGGGTATAGGAGTCTATGAAGACCCAGGAGCAGAGCTGAGACATCCCTGACAGAACCAGCCCCCGAGGGAAACTATCAGTCTCGTCCTTACACTTCCTGCCCAGTCTAGCCTGTCTCCACCCCTCTTGATCAGCAGGCGAGAGCCCTGTTGATCACCCAGTCAACATCCTTACATGCGCACTAATTGCATAATGTTTCCTATTTCCCAGTGAGCAAGAGACTAGCGAATGGCAGAAAGGGGATGTGGTGCAGTTCTGAGGCCCTCGCATCTTGACTCAGGGAAGACCCAAGTTCCTTTCACTCCAGACCCCCCCTCCAGAGACTAGGGAAGGGGTTCCAGAGATCCTCATTCTTACCTACTGTTCTCTCTTTGGACCTTCTTTCCCAAGTGCGAACAATCCCTGGGTCCCACCAATGCCAGGCCCACTGAAATAAGGAATGTTGATTTCTCCTCCTATCCCTCCCCTCCTATCCCCTCTTATCACCTGGGTCTCTTCCCTCTCCATGCTCCTGTCTTCCTGGACAGCCATCTCAGAAACCTTCAACCTGGTATCTTCATCCTTTGTCCTACCCCAGACCTTTATTTGTAACTTGAAAGCAGACACAGATTTACGGTAAAAGAGTACCCGTCATGATGGGATGGCTCAGAGTGCTGGAGGGAGGACTTGAGGGTAGAGTTCACTAGGAAGACCTGTGTGTAGAGAGAGATCCGTAAGCCTGGAAGGAGCTTCTCTGTGTGCTAGGTGTGCTGTAGGAGCATGTAGTGCTCCTACACTACTTTTATCAGCCACACTGAAGCCCCAGGTTGACAGGGAGAGGGAGTTGGCCTTGTACAGGTTGTAACGGAAAACCAAAATGGAGGGTCCTTCCCAGGAGAGGGTGGCGCATTGGGGAACACTCAACCAAGTTTGTTTTAACTATGGCCCAAAGGGGAAAAAAGAAGGCAACTTCAAATACTATCAGGATAGACAGTATTATCCATGATGTCCAGTATCAGGGGTGTAAGAAGAGGAGGGAGGTCTTCTCCGCTTGAGAGGGGGATTGGCTAGGGATCTGAGATAACAACACAATTCAGTCCTTAAGGAGCAGAATCTGGGCCTGAACCAAGATCCAGTTCCCCCTGCGAAGGAAGAGAGTCCCCCAGCCACATAGCAAAGGCCGTGGGAGCACCAAACAGTTGGGCACCTTGCTAAGTGTTAGATCCTTTATCCTATGTGGCCAACACTCATGTCAAGGCTGTGCCATGGGCACCATAACCCCACAAGCCCAATTCACAGGTTCAGAAGCAATATCCAAGGAATTATGAGCCTAGCTCATTCTCTGCAGAGAGACAGACTTAAACCTGGATTGATTAACTGTTAAATCTCATCCATGTTCCACTATTCTGTAGGACCTCCCATTCTTGAGAGAGCTTGGAGATGGATGGACAAGTACACAGCTTCTTACGAGTGGTAGAGAGAGATGGTAGTTCAAGATGAAACCCAACCTCTTCCTGTGGCCTAAAGCTGGTTTGAGGGCAGGCAGAAGTCATGGTCAAGAATCCCTCCTGGGTTCTGCAGCTGCTGACTCACTCTAGTCTGATAGTATAGAAATAAATCCAACCACCTAATTGAGTTTTCCTTTTCAAGGAAGCTCCTTAAGCTCACTCCTTTATAATTTAAAACTTTTCTAAAAACTCATTTTGGAAGGAAACCATTCTAAAGCACTATATTCATCTTCAGCACATCTGCAATGTAACAAATTTTTCTGGGACGCTCAAGATCTTCATAGAAACCAATGGCACCTCTTCAGCAATGTTTTCAGAAGTTATAGTGGCTTCGGGGGCTGTCTGCCTTTATGTCAAATAACATTAGAGCCCTTTAAAAAAATTATTTAATTTTAGAGAGAGGGGCAGAGAGGGAGAAAGGAAGGGGAAACACTGCGAGAGAAACATCAATTGCTTGCCTCTCACTGACAGGGACCAAACCCGCAGCCCAGGCATGTGCCCTGATCGGGAATCAAACCAGAGACCTTTCACATTGCAGGATGACACTCAACCCACTGAGCCACACTGGTCAGGGATAGAGCATTTTTTAAATGCTTATGATTGCTTTAAAAGTTTTTTTTTGTGGTGTTGCTTCCCTAACTACCAGGTTATTAAGTGTCACTTGCTGCTCTTCATGTGCTTCTGATCTAGAAGTACATGAACACACATGGACACATTAAAATTGTTAATAAAGTAAGGATTAAATAGTCTGTTACAGAGGCCTGGGGAGTCTATCCAATGAATAAAGTGCACGAGTAGTGCACCTGCTCAGGAGTCTTTTCTGTTCCCACTAGACCCTACAATGTTGCCCTGTAGTTGACCTCCAGATCAATGAACTGTCATTGCATGTCAGTCCAAAGATTATAATTTGCCGCTACTATTGGAAAAGTTCACTGAGGAGTGCACTATGGAGAGTTCCCAATAATAGGAGACAGCTGGACTATTTAAGATTAGGAAGGCAGCATAGGGTAGAGGAGAAAGATCTGGGTGGAGGGGTGGAGTTCTAAGGTCCTTACTTTAAAAAAAAGATTTCCTTTTTTTTTCAAGATTGTATTTATTTATTTATTTATTTATTTATTTATTTTTAGAGAAGGGAAGGGAGGGAGAAAGAGAGGGAGAGAAACATCAATGTGTGGTTGCACTTTGTGCGCCCCCTACTGGGGACCTGGCCTGCAACCCAGGCATGTGCCCTACACTGGGAATGGAACCAGTGACCCTTTGGTTCCACGAAGGCCAGCGCTCAATCCACTGAGCCACACCAGCCTGGTGTCCTTACTTTTTTTTCCAGTTGCATGATTGATCTGGGGACAGGCCACCAGCCTCCCACTTTGAGCCTTACAGTCATTAGGATGAAAGGAGATAATGTAGAAAAGATGCTTAGCTCAGCACCTGGCAAAAATGGGGTCAGGAGCTGCCAGGAAATCAGAATGTTTGGGTGCTTGCTGGTGTCAGGAAGGAAGACAAGAGTGGAAGTCTGAAGGGAGAAGAAACCAGTCAGGAAAGGAACAGTAAAAGAGACAGGCCCTCCTGTCTTTGCCCAGAGGTAGACTGACCCATAGAGGGACTAGAGGGGAGGGGCTGGCACTCTACACCCCCATTTGGGGCTGGGAACTTCCAGAGGGTTAGTCTCCCCGCTCCCCCCAGCTCTGATTAACACTAGGTTGGTGGGCCTGGTAGGAAGGGAGAGGAACCAAAATGGTTTGTACCATCTGAACTTAGTTACACAAGGAAGCTGCCCAAACAAAGCCGCCATCTCTTCTTCCTCAATGCCCCTGTCTGCTAGGGGCCAGGGTGGGAAATAGGTACTTTTGTGAGTCTTAGCCCAGACAGAGTGGTATGCAGAAGGAGATAATGTTGGGGATAACTTGGTGGCATAGTGGCTGTCCCCCTCTCTCTGCACTTCTTTTGTTTCTGCCTCAAGCCCCTCCATTTAGTCGCAGAGCACTCTGGGCTGGACACTGGGCTCAGGGGCTGGGAACACAGAGACAAATGACTCATAATCCTGGTTCCTAGACAAAGACATCTGGGTCCTTGTGTCCCCGTCTCCTGCCGTCCTCAGCTCCCTTACCCACTGACCCTTCGCCCCACTTCTCTGAACACCTGTCTTCTGCCCTCTGACTTTGTTCTGTTTTAACCAGACTCCATAGCGAGTGTGCTCCCAGAGGGAAGCGACACAAAAGGGTGGGGGGAGCAGAAAGGAGGGAATCCCGCTGACATCACTCATTAGCATGTGTGACCTCATCAGGGGGCGGGACAATTTCCCCAGGTGTCTGGCGGGGGGGGGGGGGGGGGGCAGGACATGTAGGGGGGTAGCATTTAAAGGGAAAAGCTGACGGCGCTGCTGAGTGAGGCAGCCGGTGCTGCGAGTCGCCGCCGGGCTGCACACGCACGCCGATGCATTCGGACCTGGAGATCGACATGGATACAGACACAGAAACCACAGCACTCTGCCCCTCCGGCAGCCACCAGGCCTCCCCGCCAGGGACGCCCACACCAGGTGAGGCTGAGCTGGGCAGGTTTCGGATGGAACCATGGGGGTGGGAGCGGAAGCTCTGGTGGCGAAAGTCAGAACTAGGGGTTAAAGGAGCTTGAACCCAGACGGCAAGAGGGGAAGAGCAAGTCGAGAAGTGGGGAAGCCTCCCACTCCCACTAGGAATGGGGCTGGCCTGGAGGGTGGAGGGAGAGCTGCTTAAATGCCCCTCCCCCTCACTCCCAGGGCTTGGGTGGGGAAATTCACGCTGGGCTCCCTAGGTCAGTCTCATTCCCAAGAGGCTGGGATGAGCGGGAGGGAAGGGGGAGAGAGAAGGGGCAGCCCACATGCCTGGGAATCACGGGCAAGGGGCTTCCCCGGGAGACCTGTTATAAGGGTTTCTTCTGGCCCCCTGGAGGCGCTGGCTGCTGGCCAAGTATTGATCCTGGGCTATTTCCAGCCTCTCTCCATCCCTCTTTGTTACGTCTGTCCATCCTCCTCCCAGTTACCCTGACCCATGCATTGTCATTCTCTCATGCTCCTGCTCTCTCCTTCTCTCCCACACTCCCTCTACCTCACCATGAACACAATAGTCTCTCCAACTCACTGGGACAGCCAGGGATGCAGGATTTTCACACACGGGCCATACACTGGGGGAAGCTCCCCTACAGGGCCACAGGAAGAGGCAGCCCCTCTCATGCACACACCCGCGGAGACCCAACACACACAACTCGAAGAACGAAGGCCCTTCCCTGGGAACAGGCTCCCCACGAAGTTTTTGACTACCATTACTCACCTCCCAGAACATGGGCAGCAGTTTCAGCTTCTCATCCCTGAGCCAGCGAGGGGGTTGCCAGTGCAGGAAGCAGTAGGGGCAGAGCCTCTTGACTGAAGGGGAGCAGCCCTGGGGCTAGAGGCCTGGTCTGGGGGTGTGCCTGTGTGTCAGTGTGAAGTATGAGTGGGTGTGCAAGGCTGCAAACAGGTGCCTCCCCTGCATGGGGCATGTTTTGAATAGGCTGTGGCTGGAACCACTTTGTACACACCATCAGGTCAATTCCTTGGTGCCCTACCAGTTCAGGCTCCTGGGAGGGTTTCAGTGTAAGAGGTCACACCAAAGGTTCTCAGCTCCTCCTGGGTCATGGTCATCAAATGGGCCTCCAAAACTGGAGCAGCCAGGATTGAGCTCTCTGCAGATGGCTAGGCACATCCCGTTCATAGCTTCTTTCTCTTTATCCCCCAGAAGCAAATGCCACATTGCTGAAGAAGCCAGATAAATTGTTGGCAGGGCTGGACCGGAGCGAGCCACCCTCGGCCCCAGGGGCCCCCAGACGAAGAGGCAGTATGCCTGTCCCCTACAAGCACCAGCTGCGGCGGGCCCAGGCTATCGATGAACTTGACTGGCCACCTCAAGCCTCATCCTCTGGCTCCTCTGACTCCTTGGGCTCAGGGGAGGCAGCCCTCACCCAAAAGGATGGCATCTTCAAGGTCATGCTGGTGGGGGAAAGCGGCGTGGGCAAGAGCACCCTGGCAGGCACTTTTGGCGGTCTCCAGGGAGACAGTGCTCATGAGCCAGAGAACCCAGGTATTTGGGGGAGCCCTGCAAGGGTTGAGGGTACCTCTAGAGCCCTAGTCAGGGATGGAAGAGCTCAAGGCATGAGCCGCCCCTGGAGGCCAGAACGTAAGAAAAGTTTCTCCAAAGCTTTCTGTGACAGCCTCCCTGCAGGAGGGTCCCTGGCTCTGGGATCTGAGGCGTCCCTGGCTACCAGGTCCCACAAGTGTCGGGAGCCTACTAATGAGCTCTCTATTCCCTGTCCTTATTTCCCAACAGAGGACACCTATGAGAGACGCATCATGGTGGATAAGGAAGAAGTAACTTTAGTTGTTTACGACATCTGGGAACAGGTGAGAACCAAGATGTGGCTGCAAGCCAGTGATGAACCCTGGGAGAACTGGGGAAGGGCAAAGTCTGGCTCAAGGCTGGTGGGACTGCAGGAGCTGATTTCAGCATGTATTCTCATCTCAAAGAGCAAAGGCCCACACCAGTGTGCATATCATGGCATTGAGGGCCACTGTCTTTACAGGATCTTCTGACCCAGAGGAAAGTCAGGATCTGAATTTGGTGAACCCTGCGGCTGCAAGTGGGGCTAAACATCCTGAAATTGACCCTATGCATACATCCCCCCACCCCAGTCTGACCTGACAGGGCAAGAGCTCAGAACTCTGGAATATCGGGGGGCGGGGGGGAAGGATTTGTGAACATTTGGACATAAATTGTTACTATATAGAAATGAGAGACCAGATTACATACACTTGAATAGCTATCATTTAAACTTTCTTGAGCTTAAGCATGAGAAAGTAGGAAGGGCTATCCTAGTCTAGGATACTATTATCTCCAATTCTCCAGAGTGGGGCTCACACTACTAACTTTTCCCTCCTCCACAAACATATCCTGGGTATAGAGATTCTGCCATTAAGTAGCTCTGCTGTTTTAATCAGGTAGCTTCTCCCTCACATCCTGCTTCCTCTTCCTTGAGATGTAGGCGCTGGACAGCTTCTCCCATGCCTCCAGCCCTGACATTCCATGACTCTCTGCCCACCTGCAGGGGGATGCAGGAGGGTGGCTGAGGGACCACTGCCTTCAGACCGGGGATGCCTTTCTCATCGTCTTCTCAGTCACTGACCGACGAAGCTTCTCCAAAGTTCCAGAGACCCTACTTCGACTCCGGGCTGGAAGGCCCCACCACGACCTGCCCGTCATCCTGGTTGGAAACAAGAGTGACCTGGCCCGCTCCAGGGAGGTCTCATTGGAGGGTGGGTATCCAGAACCTCATCATACTTGCAATCTCAACGGATCTTCTTTCCGCCGTCACCTCTTTTCCATAAGGCCTTTGTCCCCTCAGTTGCACAAACTTAACTGCATTTCGCCCCAGTCTAAGGGCAGTCTACCAATGCCCATCCTAGGGCCCTGAGAATGCCTTCTCTTCACTCCCCCCTCACCTCTTCTCCAAGGTCCCTTTCTCCCTCCCCTCCCTCCACAGGATCCCTTCCTTGTCCTCTTACTTTGCCCAGTCCCTTTCCACTGCACACTCTGCCCCAGGCCCAGTGCAATCAGGCAGGCCCCTGAACCTGTCCCTTCCCACAGAGGGCCGCCACCTGGCAGGAACACTGAGCTGCAAGCACATCGAGACATCCGCCGCGCTGCACCACAACACGCGGGAGCTCTTCGAGGGCGCTGTTCGCCAGATCCGGCTGCGGCGGGGCCGAAGCCGCGCAGGCGTCCAGCGGCAGGAGTGGGGCAGCCCCGAGGGCCCCGCGCCACCTGCGCGGCGCGAGAGCCTCACCAAGAAGGCCAAGCGCTTCCTTGCCAACCTTGTGCCCCGCAACGCCAAATTCTTCAAGCAGCGCTCCAGGTCGTGTCACGACCTCTCTGTGCTCTGAGCTGCGGTCGCCATGGTCACCGCGGTCGCCATGGTCACCACTCACTTGGCTTGACCCCTCGCCTAGCCCCGCCCCGCCCCGCCCCGTCCCTGTCCGGCTTCCTTTGTGAAGACGGTCTAGGAAACCAAAAGCTCCAGGACGCCCTGGTTTGACCGCGGGGTCTCGGGGAAGGTCTCTGGATACACCCCTCCCCCACTCCCGGTCTCCCCCCCCCCCCCGCCATCCCCCACCCCGCCACCCGCCGGCCTCTGGGCGCCTAGGAGGCAGGACTCAGACCCGAGGGTGGGCGCACCGTGGTCGGTGGGCGGGGCGGGTTCCGGCGGGCAGGAAGGAAACTCGTTCTGCGAGATATTTTGTTTTTTTATTACTTTGCGCTTGACCACCTCTCCGGTAAAGAGATCCTAAAACCGAGAACTGGGAAAGCGCTTTGTAGACTTCTTTACAGGGTTTTCCCACCTTTATACTCTGCACGAATATGCCTCACCTTTAAGAGATTCTTAAAGGTAAAGACACGGAGACCCTTTTTGGAGTCTTTTCCTAAAACGTTCTGGCTCTTACCTGCTGCACTTGTTCACGTGCCTTTAAGAAGTTAAAGGCAAGGGTCTGGAAGTGCTATTTTTGAGAATTAATTCTGTGGTTTATCACTACAATATGGCACTTGCCCTTTAAGGCTATTAAAGGTAAGGTATGGACAGTCTTTTTGCCTTCAGATGCCAGCGTCAGGAGCTGAACGGGTGGTAACCCCTCCCCTTTGGCCAGAGCCCAGGAGGTACCAGCAAGGGGCACCCTTCCCTTTTCAATAAAGAATTTTTCTACTGCACCTGTCCACTTTGACTCCGTGTTCTCAACACCCCCACAGAAGGGATGGATGTAGGAAACTGTTGCAGACAAGAAAACTCAGGCCCACAGGAGCAAGGAACCTAAATCTCTAGGGAGGCTTCAGAATTGACTTTGTCCCTGTGAAGTCTGTGACAGGCGACCACAGACCCTTAGAGATAACTGCGTCTAACTCAGGCCTTCCCTGATGAGAAAACAGGCCTGAAGAGGAGCTAGGAGTAATTTACCTGCCGGAAGTAATTTGGTAACTTAGTGACACAGCGGTACAAAGTCACCATCTCCTAACCCTAACTTATACAAGGAGTAGGCTAGAGGCTACATTCAGCTATGACCTAGACTGGTTCAAGGTGAAGCCCACATCCCCCAGAGAGGCTCGCCAGCTGGGGCATGATGGGGTCAGCCTGTACCTCTTGCTGACAGGGCCCCGCTGCTCCAGCTGTCACATGCAAACCCTGGCACGAACTGAAACTGTCAGTGCCTTCCCCGACGACACCCACGCCTGCTGCTGCCTGAGCCACGAGTTTGAACAAAAGGAACAGAGGCAGCAGCTCCCCTCACACTTAAACGTGTACTACAGTTACCTGAGCACCCAAGGGCCAGGCCTCCACCTCACCCCGCTCAGGTTCCCAGAACTTGATGGAAAGAGGGATGAGATGTCTTCTGAGTCCTTATAGCTGAGGAGGAGCCAAGTGAGACCAGACCAGCATGAGATAATTTGATAGCGACACTCCTTAGTATTTTATTCACTTTATCGGTTCATTCTTTAATGACAATGTACGGTGTTACTGCCTTTTTTACTGTGAAAGAGTGTAAGTGACTTGTCTCAGAGTTCAATAAGCAAACAGAGCTGGGATTCCACTCATGTTTGCTTAATACTTAATGGGTGATTTTATCCACCTTTTCATCTGAGGTTCCCCTTCCAGTAAGAATGGGGGGAAGAGGAGGAGGGGCAGTAGGAGAAATGTGGGTGACACAGTGAGCAGGGCCACGGGCAGTGGCGGTGGTGGAAGGGCCAGAGGAATTTCATAGCTGCAGTAGAGCAAGCCAGCTCTAATCTCTGGGGACCATGAACAGAGACAGTTCAAATTTTCAAATGCAGGAGCACACACTGGGCCCATTAAAGACCAGATGGTTCTGCAGTTAAGTTGAAACCTCTGGGACATGAAGAGGAGGGTAATGGAAAAGGTTTAGTTTGAAGCTCTACTTCAAAAAAGTGCCCAGCCCTAGAGGCAGTGAGAGTTGCTAAGCATCTTTACTTGTGAAAATGACGGGATCAGGAATCTGGGAGAGGTGTGCATGGACTGGAGCAACAGAGGCAAGTGTAGGGGCCAATCACAGTATTACAAACGAAGGGCAATGAAGGGCCATCCTGAGAGAGATGGCAGTGGGAAAGTAGAGGCAGCAGGGATTTGAGAGTCAGAATAGGTGGGACTTGGCAACTGAGTAGCTGAGTATAAAGAGGGAGGAGTTACAAGCTGTGGGAGGATGCAAAGGAATTAGGAGTTAGGGGCCCGAGAGTAGACGGTACATGGCTCCGTTTTGGAGACTGAGTTTGAAATGTTAGGACATCCATAAGGAGAGTTTCAGCAGTTCTCTGGACAGCTGGGTCTGAAATTCAGAACACGCTGGGGCAGGAGTCATAGATATAAGAATAATTGCTATAAAGATAGAAGAGCCAGAGGAAAGGATGAGATGTAAGACTGGCTTTACAAGTGTGTGACTTGCATAGCCACACAGGGCCCTATGCTTAGTTTGATGCTCTGCTGTGGCTGTCTTGAAACTCTTTAAACAAGGAGACTTGTGTCTTTATTTTGTACAGGGACCCACAAATTATACTAAGGGAGGGGGTGCAATACAGGCTGAGATTCCTAGCCTCAAACCACATGTGGGTTTTAGGGGTCTGTGATTCTTGTGAAATGGTACAATCTGATATGCTTGTGCAGTCATGCATTTGCCTGAGAATAAAGTTCATGAAGTTCATCAGATTTCCAGACGGGTCTGGGACCCAACAAATTGCTAACCAGGTCGGTGCTGAGGGCTGCTGGGAAAGGGAACCTGGTGGGTGAAGGACAGGTGTGGAGATTTACTTCTCATTGTACACCCCTTTCCTACCTTTTTAACAATGGCATATATTACCTGTTCCAAAACTAAATGAAATAATTTAAAACAAAGCAAAACCTTGGTGTTTCAGAGAAAGAAGAGGGACTAAAGAGAGTCAGGCAGAGAGGCAGGTGAAGAAGGGGGAAATGAAACCACCACAGAGGCAGGGGAAGAACTAGGACTGAGCATGTAGAGGCTACTGCCAAGGGAGGATGGCTTTTCAAGAGGAAGAGTGCCGCCAGTGGTCAAAGGTGGCAAAAGGGGAGAACGAGGAACAAGAAGGCCTAGTGCCTTTCATGTGGCAGAAGTCTGAGGACGATAATGGCAGGACCTCCCCATGCGGGGAGCCACGCACACACACCACAGGCCTCCCTCCCCCCAAGTCAGCCAGACCTATCAGCCGACCCATCTGTGTGTTCCCTCCAGACGCCTACAGGGAAGAGCTCAGAACAGAAGGAAGCTGAAGTCACGCTCACGCCAGACTTGGGAGAGGTGGGGTCTTCTCTGAGAGCCAGGCCATTTTTCTCCCTCCTTCTGATCAAGGCCAAGTACAGCCTGGCTGCTGATCTGGACTGATGTGAGAGCTGGCTAAGGGCCCTGGGACCTGAGCTGCCTGTGCTGGGTAAGGTCTGCCCTGCCTGGTGCTCCTCTTTACCACTGTGATTTTTGTCTTGGGGTCTGAGCGCTTACCAGCCCAACCCCTGCCCACCCATGCTACTCCCCGCCCCCACCCCATTTCCCAGCTCATAAGGTCTTCTCATTGGCTGAGAGTATAAATTGTGCCGTCTCCTGAGGGGCCAGAGATGAGGCCAGTCTCCTGTCTTGGAAAGTATTCCTCTACTCTGGGCCACTGCTTGCAGTTGAGTCATTAGGCCCTGCTGCATATAACAGTCTCCACAGAGACTGGAGCAGAGGCTGTCGTCTTCTGAAAGGCTGTTATGCCTTTCAGAGTCATGCAAGGACAACTTCACAAGTCTTCTGGGTTAAACTCTCACTCCCAGGAAGTCCACTCATACGTACATCTTTTATTAATTTAACATAGGTCACATACACATCAGTCCAAGTCAATTTCTCCTGGAAGTTGTTATCTTTCATCTACAGATGTGTATTGTTCCACTCAACCACCGTGCTGAGCCCTATAAGGGAAACAAATACAGGTAAGACTCTATTCCTGTCCTCAGGTAACTTAAAATGGACTTGGAAGAGATGTAACAAGATGGGGACAGCACTGCTATGGCCAAGACAGCAGCGAACTATACCATATTCTGTCTAACTGGGGGTGACATTATGCGCTTTAAAATTTTTCTAAGAATGGAAGAAACAAAATTTAGAACACACATTTTAGGAACTGAGGAATGTATGTACACTGTAGATAAATGGAGGGAAAAAAGAAAACAACTCCCTGTGGTAAAACTACACAGGCAAATGCACAGGAAAAACGGTGGATAGCGTGCCCCATGATAAGGTAAAAGACCCTCCCTGTAGAGAAACAGCAATGTTTGGATAGATGGTGCAGCCGAGGTCTCAAAGGGCTCAAAAACCAGACAAGAGCATCCTGCCTCTTAGTCCTTTATCATCTTGGTGGCTCTCTGATACATGGGTTCAAGATCCCATTTCATCTCTTTGAATCTTGATGCCCATGCCTCCACAGCTTGGGTGGCCTTGTCAACTCAAGATGTGAACACAAATTCAACGGGGCCTTGCAGGCATTTTAGGAGCACTCAGGAACATTACTTCCTGGATGGGGGTCTAGGGAGAAAAGTCACTCTTAACCTCTGCCTTTCTGAACCTCAGTTCTCCCAGCTCTACAATGAAGATGACACCTACTTTGTAGGATAGTCATGAGGATTAAATAAAAATGTCAATACCTTTATAATTTGTCAAGCATTATACAAATGAGCGGTGGAAATAATGGTGTTTTTTTTTTTTGCCACCTGTGCCCTGGTCCTTCATTCAGGCACTCAGGCAGCTTGTTAACCTCTCAAAGCACAGCAGCACTCTGGAAATACAAATTTAAGTTGCTGTCTGCAAGGTCCAACATACCTTCCACAGGACTCACAGGT